AAGAACAGCTAACAATTACAATATTCTAAGAGTTAATCAAATGGGTTGAATTCAAGCGCGATTATGACTGCAAAAAATGATTAAATTTCATATACATAAGTAAGAAGGAAATTAAAAATGGGCGTGTGTATTTTGATAGTGGAGTATAAGAAAGATTTTTTTTTAGTTTAATAAAATTTTGTAAGCAACTTGTAAAAACTTTACCGCCATTTCAAGTTTATTGCTTCGCATTTAAGAATTGATTAAATTCCCCCCTACTCACTTGTGTTTTGCTCATAATGGCCATTTTGTTGATTCATTTTCGCCGGTGAGTCGGTGTTCAATTGCGACGCAGTCACCGAACGCGTTTGCAACGTATTCGGTTTGGAATTCAACGCTGAGCCGCCGGCATTTACAGCGCCACTATTCGGCTCATCCAACAACTGTCGTAATCGCTGTAGCTGTGCTTCCAGTTGACGATTGTGATCCTCTAGTATTTGCATGCGTGCCTCTAGGCGTCCCTTATGCTGGCGCAGCAATTTCGCTTCAGCAATCATATCCTGAAAGCAAAACAAAAAAAAAGAAAGTGTAAAGTAATGCACTAAGTACAAGCAACTGGTGCTTTAATTGAAATTTACTGCTCTACTCTTACCTGTCCATGTTCACCTTGACCGCCGCCGGCATTTGCACCTGTCGCTAATCCACCTGTGCAAGTTTCTAGAACAAGGGTGGCCATTTCATAGGCACGCGTGTCATATTTCTCTTCTGCTTTCACTCGAGAAAAACTGCGCTGCTTTTACACATAAATGCGCATACTCTATAAATCAGTGATGCCAACGATTATGGTTTTGCTGCGATCGTGCTCAATCGATGCGAAACTTTGAAGCCATCAATTCGCTGCAAGACACGGTAAAAGCGTTTAATATGGAAGGGAGGGCACAATGTTTGGTGTGTCGTGGTTTATGAAGAAATCGCACGGGTGACAAACTTTTTCGTTAAGCGCGTTTATAGCGCCATTTCCCCTTTTTACCAAATATTAAATTAATAAATTATTACGTACATATACAAATAAATAAAAAGATGAATTTAAAATAATGCTAAAAAATCCTTTTTCTTTAAGTTCAAAATAAGAAGATTAATACAAATTAATTCAACTATTTACTTTAATTTAAATTAAGTGATAAAAAGTGAATTTAACTATATTAAAAGGTGAATTCTTTAATATAATCTCTACCTTTCACAATATTTACATAGTAAAAAAAATCCCTTTTTCTTATAATTTGCAACTCCATATCGTTGACAACACTGTTTGCATCAGACGCATGAGCGACTTATTCTCTTCATTCTCTCATCGTTTAGCAAAATTGAAATATATTGTGTGAGTTTTGGCCACCTCTGTTCTAGAATAATAACACTAGTCGACAAGCAATCCGACCTGTGGCAAAATATAAAAAAGTATAAAAGTTTTTGTGATATATCCAAGTTTCGTTTTTTGGAGATCTTAAAAAGTGCACACATTCAATTGACTTCATATGCGAATTCAGTGGAAAACTTGACTTTAGAAATTGAGGTAAAATGCCACAGGTTGGATTTTTTTTGTGTAAACATTGCAATTAATCGTTTTTATTATGTTGCCTTCGTTAGGATGTATAAAGTTTAAATTAAAACGTACCCCTTTTAAAACTGGGTACGCTATAAATTTGTTTCCTCTAGAGGTGGCACAAAGCTTTGAAAGCCGTGAAGTGTAGGACCCTGTTAGGTATTACTTCGCTGAATATCTGCGGAATCGTTCCGCTTGACGAAATTTTCTTATTATAGGGCTATTTTCTATTGACACTCTCATGATATCCACAAAGTTATCAACATTAAGCGGCCTCCCCGCTTTTATGCTCAAATTGTTTCTTTCAAATTCACAAAACTGGTGGCCTAATATAGTAAAACTGCGTTCTTATTTTTTCTCTATGACGTCAGGATTTTTTTAAAGGACTTTGAAATTTCTAAAATATGATTGAATAAAAAAATTAATCAAAAGATTCGGTGCATTGTAGAATAACAATATGGGTATCAAATAAAAGGAAAAATTCTGCAGAATAGAAAATAATGTTTTTAAATTTTTTTTTGTGTAAATATAAGAAATTTTTGGGTTTAAAAAGTGTAAGTTTTCTTGTAGACTTTACAACGATACCAATTTATTTAGAAATCGGTTTGTAATTTTTTTGTTTAAAAAATTTTTTTATTTAAAAAAAAAACGTATTTTTTGCTTTAAAGTGTTTCTTTTTTAATTTTTATATACGAAATATACGAGTATGCATATCAGAAGAAAGAGGACTTAATCGCCTTTACAATTATTCTTAAAAATCGGTTGGTAATTTCTTATGTTTTTTTTTTGGAAAAAAAAGGTTTTTTTCCTTTTAAGTGCTTTTATACCCGAGCGCACTTGTGCACAAGGGTATATTTAGGGGATTCACAAGACGTGTTAACCGTCGTAAAATCTTAAAGTTAACATCTTTTTTAATTAAAATGGTTTTAGGGGATTTCTAACTAAACCGAAATTCTTTTAAACTGATAAAGAATATATAATTAGCCAACCCCCCAACCATTTTAACCGCTATTTTACATAAACAAGTGTTAAGCTTAAGATTTTACGACGGTTAACACGTCTTGTGAATCCCCTAAATATTTTTGTTCGCATAACGGTTGTTTGTAACAGCCAAAACGAATCGAGATAGATATGAACAAATGTATACATTAATGCTCAGAATGAAATGAGAAGTCGATTAAGCCAAGTCTGTCCGTCCGTCCGTTTTTCTGTCCATGTACACAATAACTCGATCAAAAATTGAGATATCTCAACGAAATTTGGTACGTAGGTTGCCCTTCTCCAAGGTACTTTGGTATTGAAAATGGGCGAAATCGGACTGTAACCACGCCCACTTTCCATATAACGGTATTTTCGAAAAATGCAAATACTCCGATATTTCAGTAAATATTAGATGCAAAATTAGAATGTGAAAATTGATGAAAGATGTTGAAAATTAGAATGTGGAAAAAAATTGTGGTAAAAAATATTACTATTATTAAGAAATTTTTGGAAAGCTCGGTTCGGTTTCGCCCGAATTTATACTTTTTTACTTGTTTTTTTTTTTTTTTTTTTTTAATTTGGAGTGTATATGTTAAGGACTAATATGCAGACGACCACATCCTTGAACTTCGTCCTCCTAACTTTATTAGCTTAACAAAATATAATTCATAAAAACCGCATTTTCAATATCTATTCCTTCTAAAAAATTTTCTCTTTCATTTCCACTGATTTTTAATTAATCTTTTGAATTAATCATATCTTCAAAATTTCAAAGTCCTTTAAAAAAAACTCCCTACGTCGGAGTGATAAACTAAAGATGCAATTTTTCCTTTTTTTGAGCATAGTTTCGTCAGTATATTGACTTTTTCGGGTGTTTTTAATAATTTTAATTTTATCTTTTTTCGCAAGGTGTAATTAAAGAGGTTTTAAAGAATTTGTGAAGATTTTGGCTTTTTTAGGGCGTGTCAGAGACAAAAAAAAATTAACACTAAAACACACACAAATATATTCACAAAATCCTCCAAATTGTTTGCTGTTTATGTGTTATTAAAAATGTATTCCATACGGAATTGCATTTCAATGTCGTATGCCCACTTGCTGCAATTATACTACTTTATTGCACTGACAAGCTATTATTATTAAATCATATGGAATAGCATTTCCATATCAACTAACGATTTACCTTGTAATCTACGTTAATGAGCACATAAAAAATTCCAGCTAAATACTCGAACATAAATGTGCACCTTTGTATATAACTATTTATGTATTTTTATATAAATTTTTTTCCAATAACATCCGTTGCTAATTCATTATTCTCTTTGCATTTCTCCTTTTAACTGCACACTGTTTTTGCTACGGAAATGTTTGCCTCCCCTCACATCCAACTGTGTTGTTGTGTGTGTTTGCGTGTGTATGCGTTCCATGGAAACCTGCAACTTTATGTCGCTAATCCAATGACTCCCCCGCTATTTCGCGCCTTCGCCGTATCGCTTCAACAACAAATGTGTGTAACGGAAATAACAAAACCAACCGGAAAATGCCAACATTTTCGTTTATTACCTACCCACTAACATCAACGCGAAATCGCTCAACAACAAAATCACACTTCCCACCCCGCCACCACAAAACAACAGAGGGCATGATGCTACCCGGCATGGGGATGGCTAATATGAGCGGTGGTGGTGCCACTGGTGAGCTGATGGCTGTGGGCAAACATCCACTTGGTGCTGGTCTTGCTGCGCTACAACAACGCGCTGCCATGAATGCTGGTGGTGGTGGTCCCGGCGGCATGGGTATGGTGGGAGGACATGGCGGCGGCGTTGGCAATGCCCATGGTGGCGGTATCGCTGGCGCAACAGGAAACGGTGGCATCGATATGGGTAGCATTGGCATGGGTGCCGGTCAAGGATTCATGCTGGACGATGGACGTCCTCCACCGCCGCCACACTCGAGCTTGTTGCACAACTTGCCCGGTAAATGGCGAATATGAAGTGGATGTGAAATTCAAGCATGAAGTGGAGCAGCAGCGGCAGCGCACAGCCAATTTGCATGGCAATTTATTTTCCTTTCATTTGCAATATTTTGAATAGTTTTGCTGCTGCGCTCGTTTTTGCTTTGTTTTTTTTTGGTTTTTGTTTGTGTTTATATTGTTTCGCCAAACATCATGATTTGTTTCGATTTGTTGTTCTTGCATAGTNCTTCAACTGTGTTGTTGTGTGTATGTGTGTATGCGTTCCATGGAAACCTGCAACTTTATGTCGCTAATCCAATGACTCCCCCGCTATTTCGCCCCTTCGCCGTATCGCTTCAACAACAAATGTGTGTAACGGAAATAACAAA